CATTGTTAATGCTCCAAGTCCTGTGACCTTTTCTTCAGAGATTCTGAAATGTGTGTACACTCACACCACATGGACTGCTGTGGTTCAAGAGGGCAGGGAACCTTCTTGAGGGCAGTTAAGGATGGGCAATGTATATTGGCCATGTACATCGCATGGACATCAATGGTTAAAGCTCAACACCACCTGCTCAAGGGCAATTAATAGCACGAATGAACGCTAGCCTATTCAGCAAAGGACAGAATAGCAGACAGAAGTACAAACATTTCTGATGTGCTCAATACATTTTATGCTCACTTTGAACAGAAGTTTGGGGAAACGGTGTCACCTGCTCTGAAAGCCTGGATGCAATTGTTCACTTATTCACTGCAGGTATCAGATTGGTCTTTTTGAGAGTGAACCCATAGAAAGTCACAGGCCCTGATAGAGTCCCTGGCTGTGCACTCCTATACCGCGTGTACAAGCTGGCAGGAGTGTTCACTGATATATTTAACCTCTCCTTACTATGATTTGAAGTCCCCACCTGCTTCAAGAAGACCACCATCATCCAGCTACCAAAGAAAACTCATTCAGTGTGCCTCAACGACTACCACCCTGTGGCCCTGATCTTCACAATTATGAAGTACTTTGACAGGTTAATGATGGCTCATATCAAGTCTAACCTCCCAGCCTGCCTTGATGTCTTATAAATTGCCTACCGTCGCAAGAGGTCCATGGCAGATGCCCTCTCTCTGGCCCTACACTCACCCCTGGAATATCTAGACAGCAAGGATACCTACATCAGGCTCCTACTCCTTGACTACAGCTCTGCCTTCAACACTATAATCCCAACCAACTAATCTCCAAATTCAAGACCAAGCTCTCTGCTCCACCCTCTGCAACTGGATCCTCAACTTCCTGACCCACAGACTGCAATCAGTGAAGATAGGCAACAGCACCTCCTCCACAACAATCCTCAACACTAGTGCCCACAAGGCTGCATACTCAGCTTCTTACTATACTCCCTGTACACGCATGGCCAAGTATCATCTGAGCTCCATGTACAAGTTTGCTGACAACACCACCATTGTAGGCTGGATCTCAAACAATGACGAGGCAGAATACAGGAAAGAGAGACAGAGAGAGAGTGCTTGGTGGCAAGGATAACAATCTCTCCTCCAACATCAGTAAAACTAAAGGGCTGGTCATTGACTTCAGGAAGCAAGCTGGAGGGCATGCCCCTGTCTACATTAATGGAGCTGAGATGGAGATGGTCAAGACAGTCAGTTCCTAGGAGTGATGATCACCAACAATCTATCCTGCTCCATTCACGTTGATGCAATTGTCAAGAAAGCACAACAATACCTCTATTTCCTCAGGACACTAAGAAAATTTGGCTTGTCCATAAAGACTCTTACCAATTTTATAGATGCACCATAGAAAGCATTCAATCTGGATGCATCACAGCTTGGTATGGCAACTGCCAAAGACCACAAGAAACTACAGCGAGTTGTGGGCATAGCCCAGTACATCACACAAGTCAACCTTCCATCCATTGATTCCATCTATAATTTTCACTGTCTTGGAAAATCAACCAGCATAATGAAAGGTTATCAACTCTTCCACCCTCTTCCACTAAGCAGAAGATACAAAAGCTTAAACACGCATGCCAATAGATTCAAGAAAAGCTTCTTTCCCACTGTTATTAGACTTCTGAGTAGATCTCTCAAATTTCAAATTTAATGTTGACCTCACTCTTTGTGCACCTTCTCTGTGGCCATAACATTTTATTCCTCGCTATGTTCTATCACCTTAATGCACACTGTACAGTATGATCTGCCTGTACTGCATGCAGAACGAAACTTTTCACTGTACCGAGGTACATGTGACAATAATAATAAATCAAATCAAATAAGCAAGGCCTACAACTCATGAAGCAGTAAATAAAAGAATCATGAAAACTTTCCAGGTGAATAGAAAGAAAAAAACAACTTTCTATTTAACAATGGACAGAAACTGACAGTGGTATTAATGCAAGAACTGTTTTTGTCCTTCCAGAGATTGTGAGCATTGCTCTTTAGGCCATGGTACAGGAGCAGTGTATGACCACTGTGCTGTTGGGAAGGGAGTTCTAGAATTTTGACTCGATGACAGTAGAGGAGCAGTCATATGGTTCCAAGTAAGGCTGACATGTGTCTTGGAGAGGCACTTGCGGTAGCGGTTCATTTAAGATGTGGGCTGGATCTCAAACAATGACGAGACAGAATACAGGATAAAGTGCTTGGTGGCGTGGTGTAAAGATTCCAATCTTTTCCATGAAATGGAGGTCTACAATACGGTCCAGTCTACACCCATAATCTAAGATTTGGTTTGTCCTGGTCTCCTTAATATTAAATCAATTGGTTGTCCTTAGCTGCTTTACAGTCTGGATGTAAGCATAGTAAATGTAATTCCAAAACATTATTCACACAACAGATTAATATAGATGTTGCCAACCTCCCTGCGATCTCAGACCCTTCTCACTGAGTATGTATGGTGGCATCATACATGACTGTTCGATGTTAGTCTCTTATTCCACTGGTCCCAACCATCTGCTGCTCTTGTCGTTCTAAGTGCTAGAGTTCACTCCTGAGTGTGGAGGGACTGTCTTATGAGGAGAAGTTGAATAAGCCGAGCATGTACTTGTTGAAGTTTAGAAGAATGAGAGGTGATCTTCTTGAAATGTATAAGATTCCTAGGCAACTTGAAAGAAGGAATGCCGAGAGGTTGTTTCCCCTTGTGGAAGTTACTGCAGTACACATTACGGATGATTCACTCTGCTGCCAGTGAGTGCCAATGGTGGAAGGAGTGAATCTTGAAAATGGTGGATAGGTATCAATCAGGTGAGGGCTGCTGGAGCTTCACCCATCCAGGTAGGTGGATAATATTTGATCACGCTTCTGATTTGTGCCTGTAGATGGTGGGAAGGCAATAGGGAGACCAGGAGGTGAGTCACTTGCCTCAGAATTCCTTGCCTCTGTCTGTTCTCATAGTCACAGTATTTATTTGGCTGGTCCAATTTAGGTTTAAGTCCATGATAATCCCCAGGATATTGATGGTTATAGATTCTACAATGATGATGCCATTGAATGTCAAAGTGAGATAGTTAAATTCTCTCTTTCACTGGCACTTGTAAGGTAAAATTTTACTAGTCATTTATGAGCTCAAACTCAACCGTTGTTTGGATCTGCTGCATTTGGACACCTGCACCTTCAGTACCTGGGGAATTGCAACTGGTGTTAAACATAGTGCAATAATTGGTGAATATCCCACTATAAACTAATGATGGACGGAAAGTCATTGAAGCAGCTGAAGGTGCTTGGACCTAGGACACTACCTTGAATAACTCCTGCGGAGATGTCCTGGGGCAAGGATGATTGACCTCCAACGATCACAGTAATTTTCCTTTGTCCTAGGCATATCTGCATCCAGCAGGGAACTTTCCCCTGATTCCCATTAACTCCAGTTTTGCTGGGGCATTTTGATGCCACATTCGATCAAATGTGGCATTGACGTAAGGGCATTCATTCTAATCTTATTTCTGGAGTTCAGGTCTTCTGTCCAGGTTTATATAAAGGCTGTAATGAGGTCAGGTGACAAGTGGCCCCAGCAAATTGCAGTTTGAGCATCAGTGAATAGATATATTGCTAAGTAAGTGTTGCTTGATAGCACCATTGATGATCCTTTGCATCACCCTACTGATGATCAAGAGTAAACTGATGGGGCAGTAATTGGCTGGGATTGTTTTGCTGGGTTTTCTGTGCACAGAGAGGATATCTGGGTAATTGTCCATATTGCCAAGCAAATACAAGTATTGTAGCTTTACTGGAAAAGCTCGGTCTGAAGCACATACCTTCAGTACTATTAGTGGAATATTGTATAGTATCCAGTACCTTCTGCTATTTCTTGATATCATGTGGAGTGAATCAAATTGACTGAAAGCAAATATTCTTGATGCTGGGGAGACCAGGAATAGGTTGGGATGGATCATCCGCTCAATTTTTCTGGCTAAGATGCTTTCAAATGCTTCAGCCTTATCCTCTGCCCTGAAGTACAGGGGATCCCCTATCATTGAGGATGGGGATATTTGCATAGCGTCCTGTTCCTGTGAGTTGTTTAGTTGATCCATTTATAACTGGTTGTGATGGGGCTGCAGAGCTTAGATCACATCTGTTGGTTATGGTGCCCCTTAACTCTATTATATTCTGCTTCGACAGCTTGGCATGTACGTATCCCTGTGTTGTTGCTTCACTGCGTTGACACCTCATTTTTTGGTATGCCCGGTGCTGCTCCTGGTATGCCCTCCTGCACAGTTCATTGAACTAGGGCAGATCTCCTAGTCTGATGAAAGTTGTAGAGTGGAGGATATTCTGGCCATGATGTTACAGATTATAGTTCATCTCCAACAAATGATTTGTGCTAAATATGACTCCAAATCCTGGAGAGCTTCCCTTTGACTCCTATTGATTACAATTTTGCTGAATCTTCTCGACAATAAAATTTGTCAAATTATGTTGGGGCAATCAGTTAAAACAAATCATTTGTGTAAATTAGAAGGAATTCTGTTGACAATGCCAATCTCTGGAAAATTCACTTCAGTACCATCAGAACCTGGATCCATTGCAAGCATCCTCTGCTTCTCAATTATCCAGCCAATCTACAATTCTATCCGCAGTTCTACAAATGTACAAATACATCCTTTATGTTTAAGTAGCACCTGTCAAGTGTTTAATGAATTCTTTGCAACATGCTTGGCATATAGCTTTCTCATTCAATTAAGATATTTTTTGAGAAAAATCTCCTCCATTTGAAATTTGGGTTAAAGGGCTGCATTTATCTGAATTCCCATTTAATCAGTAAAATGAAAAACAACACTTGGAGGAATGTCAGGAAATATTATCTTTACAATTTTAATGTGATCCACAATGCAAGACAACAACATATACCCAAGGACAACATATTTACAAATGATAGAATCTCCCAGTTACAGGAAAATATACAGTCAGGAACGCCCGGTCCCTTCACCCTTATAAATGAACAAGTTATGTGCAATGGTTACATCTTTCATCAGAATGAGGTCTTCTTGTGTAAACAGCTTTTCAGAAGTTTCATTCCTGGTTAGTGGTGGGCTCTTGAATCATGGTGTTCCTGGAATAAACAGAATGAGGACAATGGTCATTTCCAGATGGACTGAGTTCAAAGTTTCATTGTTGTTGATGATCATGATCAAGAGACAATTGTCTTACACAATTTTCCAGCTTATACTCACATTTGAAGATACATCGAGCAGTGTTTCTGTTGACTTGCCTTGCTCCTGCTCCTGTTTTTTAAAAAAAAGTTTTAAAAGATTCAGATTTGTCTGTTTATTACAGGGAATCAATGATATTGAATAATGGAAATACCTTTTAATCAAAGATTTCACTGAATCGCTTGATTTATTAATTATTAAAAATAAATAAGGAATGTAAACTCTTCACATTTCTATTCCTTAACTGTGTCAGATTGAAAATAAATAGAGCTGCCGCAGAACCTGTTGTGATGCAGCTGAATGCAGGTTTCAACAGTTTAATTTTTTTGATATGATGGTAAATGCCACATGATACTCACGTTGGGAGAGTCCTCGACTGATCCTGTTGAATTCTTTTTCACCTAGAATGAAAAGTTTTTATATTTATCTAAGTAGGTTTGTGTAAATAATCTCAATGTTTAGAATCATCTCCAAACAAAAACTTTTAGATTACAACTTTAAATTTTGGAGTTTGGGCTTGATGACTCGATGCTGGAGTGGGAGACCCTTACCATACATCTCCTGTTCTGCACTGCAGCACTAATCAATCGAGCCCTGAGACATTGTACCTGTGATATGAGCTAATGGAGGATGAAAATCTCCACTGATCGGGAGCTTTTGTGATTGAATCAACAGTTTGTTTCCAGAACGGACCAGTAAATAGTGTCTATTATAGTGAGAGCATAAGAGACACTGTTCTCCCAATGGAATTGTTTGTGCCTGTCCAGTCCCGTAGATATTCAGCTGATACCATCCTTAAGAAAGAAAAATCTCTTCCTCTGTATTTGGTACAACATCAGACTCCCAGCCAACCCCAAAGTATCTCAGAGTAAAGCAAATTGAAGTCTCACACTCCAATCCAACTACTGCATACTATATTTTCTGCAGTCTTTTGATCATTCTTATCAACAGCAGAAAATCTGATAATATTCCCAGTTTATAGTCGCATTTGACTTCTCCATTGATTTCTCTTTGGATTTGGTTTTGCCCTGTATTTAAATATTAATTTTCCATGTTTAGTAAAGTGGATCAATGGGAAATGTTGTAAATTATCAGAAATAATAGAACTCCCAATGTCCTGACATGTATAATTATGAGGTTACCTCATTGCTGTTTTCATTTGATTCTGATGAGTCACTGTTGCTGTCAACCATCTTCAAGCCTTTGCACTCCACATCAATGCTGACAACCTCATCAGCAAAATATTCAATGTGGCTTTTGCACAAACCTTTCTCCTATCAATGCAGAATTGTTTAAAATTACACTTTGATTGTAAAACTCTGGGAACTTTTCAACGATACAACTCTGCACACACGAGTATTTGAGTTTGACAATGTAACTCGGAACTTACTGCAGTCTTTTTGGGACGGAAGTGACAGCTGGGATCATCAAATTCCAGTCCAGAATTCTTGGAGCAGACAGTTTCTTTCACAGAGAAGGTTAAATCCATGTTGTACGACAGTTTCCCTGTGTGATGAATCTAATGAGAGGGAAAACAGTTCATTAGCGTCTGTCTGTATCTGGTGTTCTTACTCTGTGCTGATTCACCCATCAGCGTAAGTGTAATACAACATTCTGCTTCTGCTTAGTCGTCTGTGTCGAACTGCACTCAGTAATATTCTTGTAGACTTTAGACAGTGAAACTGACTGACACCAGGACACACTTACCTCCTTCACTCTTCTCATGGTTATCCCACACAGATTGCTGGTCTCGGTGATTTGGTTCAGTTTTAGAACAGACGCTCTCAGAGCATCCTTTTGGCTCGGTATTCCTGTCGAGAGAAAAGGAAAGTTGTACGAATCATTCCGGAGTTCTTCAGTGAGTTATTTTTACACGTTGGTGATATCTCAGCGAGTGAGCCTCATTGCCAATAACTGGTTGCTCAATGGGCTGCCGCTCTCTCTGGTACCTACCTGAGCAGTGGAGAATCTGCACTGCAGCAATGGTGAGGAGGAAGGCTTTCATTCTGCCTCTTGTGTGATCAGCTGGCTGCTTTCTCAGAGTAAAGGAGCTGCTTCTCGCTCTTGCTCTGCCCTTTCCTTGCTGCGTTCAGTCTTTATATCTCGCGCCTCCACCACATTCAAACACTGACTCATATTTACTCAGTTTTGGTCTTGGGCAGGGAAAGCTGCTGACAAGTGGCTCTAATATGGACCAGTATCGTCATCGTGGTTAGATTTGGTGAGATCAGAGATTATTCCTCAGAATGTGAAATAATCAACTGACAGAGGATATTAACATCTATAATTTGCACAGTATCTGTCAGCTCTCTAATGTTTACAAGGCTAACCTTGATGTAAACACACAAAAATGGTCCATCTATGGCTCACGTTAGTGGCACAAAGTTTGTTCGAAAAGTAATAGCACAAATTATATTGCAAGTTCAGGTGATGAGGACAGATATCTTGTGAATCTCTAGAACTTATTGTTCATTGCCTATTCTTTTACCAACTTTCAATCTTCAGATATTTTTAAAAAAATTTTCTGCAATTGAATGTTATTTGGCCTTTAAATGCAACATGGGAATTTTAGGCTCATTATTGATAATGTGACCTTTATTTAATAATGTGGAAATTGTGACTGCAACATCAATCTCTGTGTCTGAGAAGAGAAACATATTAAAACGTGCAGTCTTAATCCTACAGGTCAGCAATTGTTTTAGAGATTTTCAAATAGCCAAGTTTAAAGTATTAATTTTCATCATAAATCAGCACGGTGGCTCAGTGGTTAGTACTGTTGCCTCACAGCACGAGGGACCCTAGTTCGATTCCAACCTTGGGTGACTGTCTCTGTGGAGTTTGGATGTTCTCCCCATGTCCGTGTGGGTTTCCTCTAGGTGCTCTGGTTTCCTCCCACAGTCAAAAGATGTGCAGGTTAGGTGGATTGGCCATGGGGAAATGCAAAGCTATAGAGAGAGGACAGGGGAGTTGTTCTGGGTCAGATGTTCTTTGAAGGATCAGTGTGGACTTGATGGGCAAAATAATCTGCTTCCACACTGTAGGAATTGTATCCTTGACTATCTATCTTGTTTCTCTCCAAACTACTCCTTTTCATCCTATTTTTATTTCTTTTTGATTCATGTTCATCTGCTTTGTTTCTCTGCTGTGTTCTGTTTCACTATCAATATGGCACTGTATGTTTCAGGGACTTGCTGATGATATCATCACTAAGATCTTATATTTTATCTTACCTCAGATCACTTGAACTCTGGGGGAAGTATGCTCCATTGCTGTATCATAATAGCCATGATGTGGAGATGCTGCTGTTGGACTGGGGTGGACAAAGTCAGAAGTTACACGACACTAGGTTATAGTCCCACAGATTTATTTGAAATCACAAGCTTTCAGAGCGCTGACAAAGGAGCAGCGCTTCGAAAACTTGTAATTTCAAATAAACCTGTTGGACTGTAACCTGGTGTCGTGTGACTTCTGATTTTGTAACATAATAGTTTAATATTAGTCCAGATGCTCTGTGCCTAAGAATGTAATGTTCCTATATCATAGGTGACTGTAATAAATATCTGATGGAAATTTTAGTACCAGGTTATCCACAGCAAGTGTCTTATGTACAGGAGATACCATCAGTATTGGAATATCAGGTCAAACAACTCTGTTGGAGCAAGTTCTGACCAAGGTAGCAGCAGTGTCTATCTACAAAAGGCTTCAATATCTTGATGGTAGATATTTGGAACGCTAACTGAAGATCAGAAGGACAATAGTTTTGGACAACAGAGAATCAGTACAAAACCCTCCCTTTTTTCCACCAGTTTTTGAGAGTGCAGACAACTTCACTGATTTGTGGATACACCATTAACCATCAACAAGAGAGAGCTAATTTGTTTCGATTGAAATGTAAGCTCTTTCAAAACAAAATTAATTTCTAAGATTGCCACTATTGAAAATAATAAATCAGCTGCAGTCCCTTTTTTCAAGTTGGAACCGAGTGTCGTACATTAGAGAACTGGGAGTCCAGAGCACTTCATTCATGAAAATTAATACAAAAATAACAAGCTCTCTCAGAACAATCAGTAAAAAAAAAGAACATTTTTTAACGTGCAATACACGTAATTTACAGAAATTCAGGGACATAGACCTTAAAGGTACAATTCAACATTTTAAAATCTGAAACATTGATAACAGAAGCTTCATTATGAAGTGGGTATCCAATGACACCCTGGCTGCATTGCACAGTTTGAACAATGAATGTATTTCGATTTATAGATCACGTGATATGTAATCTCTGGAAAATAACTCTTAAAAATCTTGTCTGCCATTGCCAAGGGGCAACTTTAAAGAATTAACACATCCAGCCTTTTTCTATACAATCAGGAAGATCCAGAAAGGATTTGGAAATTTCTTGAAGACGAGTACAAGATAGGAATTAACATCAGGGTTAACAAATTCCAACTCATGACATACAGACAGCAATCCCAAAAGGTTAATGACCAGTTTGTTGGAAGATGCTGCAGCACAGGGCATGAGTGACTTTTCCAACAAGAAACTGAGAGAAACTCATCAATTTTAGCTATCACCGTTACATTAATTAAAGATGTTAGCAAGGATCTTTTGGGCTAGAGAAAGGGTCATAACATTGACTGGTTACATTAGGATGGATGCAAGTATGAAACCATAGTTGCAGACTAACAACAATTAAACATTTGAGACACAGACAACACCGTTGCTGCAGTCAGCAAAGTACACCAAACCAGCAAACTCTGTAACAGATGCAGTTTGTCTCACCTGTTGTCCAGCTTTTTTTGATATCTGTAAGGCACACGGCACTAAGGGAAATCTGGTTTTAACCAAGTCAGATCCTGGAATGAAATACAGGTAACCAGTGAGATGGTGGAACACTACAAGTCTGGCGACAAGGGAAGTGTTAAGATGATGAATAAATGCAAACACATCAATGGATTCAGATTCAACCAAATGAAAAGCAATTTCAGAAGATGACCAAACTTTCCGTCTTCTTCATCTCAAACACCATGTCAACAATATAAGGCAATGTGGCAGGATGCAACAAAGGCTGAAATCGATACAGGAGCCAATGCCAACATTTATCCAGAATGCTTCCTGAAAGAAACGTACCTTAGTGTTTGATGCTCCATCATACAGCCGACAAGAAACTGCCTCATAATGTATAATGTTTCATCATTTCTGTGCATTGGCAGCATCATATTCCAATGCAAATACACAGGCTTACCATAGCTTTCTCATATCTTTTATCTGTTAGATACCAGTAATCCAGTCGTGGCAGGCCTCCAGAATGCACAAATCTTAGTCTAGTCACAACTCATGAGGTTCAAACCAGATCCGCAGTGACGGAACGGACCACACAAGACTCAATTGAATAAATCAACAATCTCCAAGTGAGTGGCTTTGAAGTGAGATATAAAGCAGTTAGCAGGATGATTACATCTGTCCCAAGAAATGGATTACCTGACCTACACAAAGGCAAAGATATTCCTCTTGATCTAAACATTGATGGCTTAGGCAACATAGTTGAACAGGTTTTGAGCTTGATCCATTATACTTTGGTCAGAGGTATTCTTAACAGTTATAATCGACAACTGCCGCAGATGAGCAACTGCAAGAATTGTAAAGATCTTGTCCAGTGATGATCTGATCCCATTAAACAGGTACCTGAGAAGACTAATTCATTTTGGCCAGAGAGAGATGAATATTGAATACCGTGACAAGTCATTTTCAAGGGCAATCAAGTCCCAATATCAAAAACACTGCACCAAAATATCATGACCATGTTACACCAAGAACACTTGGGTAATGTATGCACAAGAAGGCGAGCATGTGAATCTGTCCACTGCCCAGGGAAGAATCAGAATGTTCACTGACTTGTGAATGCATAGCTGTCTTTTTTTCTCTTTAACTAATCTTTCCATCCATCCCTTTTTTTTCTTTTACTGATTTCACCTGATTTCCTCTGCTATTACTATCATTTCCTTTCATTCCTCTCACGAATCTCATTTTTTAAGGCGATTTCATTCCATCATCTGCCCTGTTCCACAAAAACCCATATCCCTTACCATGCCATCATGAGCTCATTTAATCAATGGTTTTACACAATAAATTATATTCAACAATCGACTCTAAGTAATTGCACAAACCACAGGATGTCTCTCTCACTCTAGCAAGTCTTAACACAATACAGTGCAAGAATTCCCAGACTTCACGGTATGTGCAGCTTGTGTCTCTCATGCGTTGCACCCCAGTCGGCTAGGAATTTGTGCAACATCATTGCAAACATCACTGACAGAGCTGAACAGCTAATTTCCTTAGCTCTGGCCAATGGACAAATTAAGTAACCCTTCCCCATCTACAACCTTAAATAAATTGTATTGGCTGCTACCTTCAAATGAAGATAAATTTTCTTATCTTCATCTTTTTGAAAAAAATGTTGGTTTGATTGAGCTTGCTAAATTAATGTCTGTCTGTCTGCAAATATCTCATTCCAATATTAACAGTAAGCCATTAATACAGTGATTTTCATCATCAGTAATATCTCAGAGTCAGTTATTTATATGACACAACTGCCCTGAGCATTTCAATGTTGCGGGTGCAGTAAGTTTAATTTGTGCGGTCGTAACGTCACAGGCAATGCTTGAGCTCAAATTCAACATCTTCTGGCTCTGGGCAGGTTTTTGAAAAGAAACCATTGAGTCAAATCATAGCAAATACCAGAACTTCTCGGTAACTGTAACTTACTCCTGACAACAGAAACCATTTAACTCTACATGTGTAGGCACTACATCCAGAGATTTATTTTGGGCTGGGGAATTATTGACACTTGCGGAAAAGTCAATGGCTAGGGGTTCCTGCCTTCTCGGCTACTTGACGCTATGAGGAGGCCCAAGGTTTAGTGTAGGAGGCAAACACGGGTGATGAGGGGGAGGGAAAAAAAGTCAAGAGAAGCCTAGCATTGATCAGTTCAAAAGGGAAAGGAAGTTCTGAAGTTGAAAAGTTGCCAAATTCAGCAAGAACTGATTTTAATTAACAACTTCAAACATTCAAAACAGAATCTCACA